ATGCCAACGTTTGCGTTCCTTTTTCACGAACAGTGTCTGAATTTTTTTCTAATTGTCTGTCCCGAAACGCTTTCTGAATTTCAGCCCGAGATTTCATGTTATATGAGTAGATGTATTTCTTCATGTTATATGAATAGATGTATTTTTTCATGTTATATGAATTTCTTTTGGGAAAATAGTATAATAATTGTAGTTGTAATACACCAGAAGGTTATTTATAATTATTATCAAAATGATTCAGGATATACATTTATTTTAAAAGCCAAACTTATAAGAGTCAAACATAAATATAAACTAAACAATAAATGAAATCCTAATACTAAAATACTTACAATTAAACAAATTACTCTATTTCTTACAATCGCTTGAAAGTAAAAGAATGCAGTGTATATATTTACGCTGCAAGGTAATCATATTTCATTGCTGCAGTTTGTCCCTAATGGTTGACGTGTTTATTCAATGCAGAAAATGGCTTAGTTTAAATCCATGTATTATACGATTATAAATATCATCGTGAAGTCAGTTCCATAATGTTGTTGTTAACTCCGTTATTAAGGGGAAATCACGGAGTTAACCGTAACGGAGTAGACATATGTATACATAATCAAAAATATCTCATTATTGCTAATTTGAAAACGTATTTAAAATCTTTTATTGTTATATTGTCCAAAAGATTTAAAAATTTACACGTCCTATAATATAATTTGATATTTTACGGAATAAAAAAGCGTAACGGAGTAGACTTCGAATAAGTATATCATTATAAAAATAAGGTATTTTTAATCTCTGATTTTTATATTAAAAATGCTTGCACAGCGATATAACTTTAAATGTAAATAAATTCCATAGAACTGGACTTTTTTCATTACTTTGATTTGTAAATAAGTAAAAACTACAAACCAGTGACTATTTTATAATGTAATAACGGAGTGGACAAAAAATTTAGGGATAGCAATTTTTTGACAAGAGCTACAACAGGATAAAATGTAAATTATTACATTTATTAAAATACCGTATATTGGCATGTCTAAAGCACAAAATTGTAGCCCCTATTAGCTATAATACAAAAGAAAAATTTTTTTAAGTATAACAATATAGTCCTAGATGCAGGACATTTGTGTTAACAATTTTGCACACAAAATTTTAAATTTTATTTGAGAATATCAGATAAAATGCTAGTTTACATTAATCATAAGTATTAATACCCGTAGGGCGGCTTTTTATGTTAATTGTACAAGAATTACATTTTTATATTTATTATGTAGGATAAAATTTCAGTAACGGAGTTGACGGAATTAGAAAATAAATCTTACATCTCTTTGTACTGGAATAAAAATTTTTTTTTGTTCTAACGCAGAAAATAAATCTAATTAAACTATAATACTCGCATCGCAGCAATGTTCACAGAATGTAATAAGGGTGACATGAATAGTGTCAAAAAATGAACTTTAGAATAGTGTCATATATTTTAAAAAGACCTAATGTCGCAAAAAAAAAAAAAAGGAATAATGTCGCAAATGAATTTGATGAACAGTGTCAAAAACAAAAACAAAAAAAAGAAATAGTGTCGCAAATGAATTTAATGAATAGTGTCGAAAACAAAAAAAAAAGGAATAGAGTCGCAAATAGTAAAAGCGAAATAGTGTCGCAAATAGTTAATATTAGTAATTACTTACTCGTTTTGTTTATCTTTATAGCATACGACTTTTATAGAGAGAAAAAAAAAGAAAAAAAAACAAGAATAATGAAGGAAAGATTGCTATAAAACCCCAAACCCTCAGTCGATGTAGCGGAACTCTTCGGCGGCAACAGGCTATAAGATAGTGTATGAGCTGAAGCACCTGGCAGCAGGGTATTTTAGTATGACATCAGACATTTTATCTAAACACACATTTAAAGTTATTATTATTTTTTTATTTTTGTTACTATTCATTAAACTCCTTAAGGACATTATTCCTTTTTTCTATTTTCGACACTATTCATTAAATTCAGTGCGACACTATTCCTTTTTTTTATGTTTTCGACACTATTCATTAAACTCTTTTGCGACATTTTTCCTTTTTTATTTTCGACACTATTCATTAAATTCATTTGCGACATTATTCCTTATTCTGTTAATCAATAATGGGCCATTATTCCTTATTCGACAATCAATAATGGGACAGTTTGCGACATTGTTCCTTTTTTACATTTTCGACAATCAAATTTGCGACAATAAAAATTTACGACAACCAAAATTTTGCGACACAATTCCGCCACACCTGTGTTATTCCTATTGGCGTGGCATGGTTTAAATGATTAAGAAAATCAAATTATTTTCTGTGTATTGTTTACTTTGCCAGACGTACTATTACATGTTTGAAATCATACATACATAAATATCATTTATATGTTTTCTTTTACAATCATCGTCACTACTATAGACACGGCTTTCTAAATTTGTTCTTTTTTTTTTTTGTTCAAATTTATTGTAACTTCTAACAAAATAAATTTGTAATTAAGTAAAATTGTTTAGAAAACAAATAAAAGAGCTATATGAACCAATAAACAAAACCAATAACGGACAATATAACCGACCGTATTTAAATGTTTTTTAATCAAACCGGATTTAAATGTTTTTTAATCATGTGTTGTTACCGCTCTTTCATTCAATTTTTGCACAATTTTACTTGCTAAAGTGTTTATAGAATGTTGTTAGGTACTGACCAAAATTTTATAATTAAAACAGTTTCAAACCATTTGTTAATATTAATAGCGAAAACTGAAGTCTAAAAATAATGTATAAATTATAATTTCTAAAAGTAATTCATTTTGAATTGCCGACTAAGGTAACTCAACTCATTTTACCGATTAGGATTTAGTGTTTGGGAGGTGTCACACCTCCCATGCATCCGGCCCTGCTGATGTCAAATGAACTTGCGTGATAAATTCCAAAATGGAGAAGAGTTATGTTTGCAATTTCAAATAGTCTGGACATAAACAAAAAAAAGTTGAAAATGACAAACTTATTAAATGTATGCTTTATTGATGAACTGAGATGATTAAAAACAATTAATTATTGATGTTATATGCTTTTGATTGTTTATCATACTATATTTATTACTATATATTTATCTAGTGATATACTCTTTGTTGATTAATAACTTGGTGTATTCTCAAATGTCTTTTTTTTAGTTTTGGATTTAAAATAATAAAATATATTTACTTTCTGTAGTTTTTTATGGTATATTGATGCATCAATACATGTTTAGTTTTTCTACTGGAACGTTATTGTGTCAACATATGTTTAGTTTTTTTATTGATTGGTCAGTGTGTCAATGTACATAGAATATGTGATGTACACATACATACATTACATAGAATAGTAACACAAAATTTTACCTAAATCAACACTTATTTGTATTAAAACTGATGTGTTAAAGAGAGTAATGTAATGTTTTTTTAAATTTTAACATATGTTCCGATAGTTTTGGAGGACAGTGTGTATGTTATTACAAAATATAAAAGCTTTATTAAAATCAGCCACGTTGTCAAAAGGGTGCTAAAGATGGTGGGGTTGTATCTCTTGTAAAATCTGAAATTCGTCATTTTTAAATTTCACATATACTAAAGAAAATGATGTTTTACTGTGACTTTGATCATTTTTACAAAATATAATGAAAAAAATACTCTTAAGCAAATAAGAAAATTATTTCATATATTCCATGTATTATTGAAAGTAGTGTTTTTGTTAGATGTGTTTTTACAAAGTAGTGTTACTGTTGGATGTGCTTCCGCAAAGTAGTGTTTCTGTTGGATGTGCTTTCGCATTGTATAGTTCAGAGCAGTATTGAGGTCATTGTTTTTATTATCTGTTTTGTTATAATGTGCTGTAAAGTGGACTCTAAGAGTCAAGTTCATTGAATATTATTCAATAGATAACAAAAAAAAAAAAATGATAACGAGTGTATAAAAAATGATGTAAGACATTAAAAACGTGTGACATCATGGGACGTGTGACATTACATGACATGTGACATCACATGACGTGTGACATCGCGTGATGTGTGAAAAATCCTTTTTTTTTTAATTTTTAATTTTTTTTTTTAATTTAATCAACAATTTTTTACACAGCGCGTTTAAACTTTGATTAAACTTTTCTAGGATAAAACTTTTCTTTATTTTTCTACACACTTTTAAAGTATTTGGGCTTATTGCTATTTTTTAAGACTATTGATTAACAAATCTTTTTGATTTAGAAAAAAAATCTGGGTTTGAATTTTTACAGATAAATGGGTATTTACGGGTAACATAAAGTTATTTAAAAAAGCTTATATCAAATTTAATGAAAGTTCACACTTTAAAGCAACGTCTCAAGTATTTTCTACGAACGTGGAAAATACTTGGGAATAACGTGAAATGTTATATTAAATTAGTTTTTAAAACTAGAATTTAAAACAACATTTTCAAGTTTGTGGAGCGTTGTTTTAAAAATTAGAGAACTTGTTCTTAAAACTATTATTTAAAACAACGCTATAAGCAAGGAGGTTTAATAAACCTCCTTGGCTATAAGTATTTTTAAGGTTTATGGAACGTTGTTTTAAAAAATAGAAAATTTGTTCTTAAAACTATTATTTAAAACAACCTTTCAATATTTTTTCACAAATGTTTATAAAAAAACTTGTTCTTTAAACTATTACTTAAACAAATTGTTTTTTTTATTTTCAGATTAGTACGTGTTGTTATTTTTTTTATTTATTAAAAAAAAAAAAAAGGTTGCATTTGCCGTTTTGTGATTTTCCGTTCAATTATAAATATAAATACTCATTTCATATACACACGTACATATATATAGTGTTATTATATTATATATTGTATATATGTATAATGACGTATTAAATAATTAATTATAAAAAGAAAAAAAAGAAAAAAAAATACGTTTTTCATGATCTCTTTTGTTATCATTCATTATCTCGCACAAAATACAAGCGTATTAAATCCATATTTCTAATTTTAGTAAATTTAACGTAAAAACAACTTGGTGCGTAATAATTTTAATGGATGAATTTAAGTGTAATTTTTGTGCAAAAATCTTTAATGACCCGGTGCTTTTACCTTGTGGTGATGCAGTATGCAGAAAGTGTCTTAAAAGCCATTTAAAGCTGAACCATGTTACAAAACACTTTAGCTCAAATAATATTTACTCTGATGAAGAAAACAAATATTTCTGTCCTCTATGCAATGCAAAGTTTCGTCTTGCAGAAGGCGTGGACAGTCTTCCAAAGTATGGAGTGATATCTAAAATGATTAATGAGTCGCATCCACCAAACGAGGGTGAGTACAAATAATGTTCAATAAAAAATGTGAGATAATCTGTACATATTTATAATATGTTCCACAATAAAATTTTTTCAGTAAATCAAAATGTTAGAGTTTTTATGTTTTTTTCTATTTTCTTGAGTTGATTTTGCTCTAACAAATTTAATAGAGCAATCCAAATTTTTGATAATATGTTTATTTTTGATAATATGTTTCTTTTTGATAATATGTTTATTTTTGATAATATGTTTATTTTTGATAATATGTTTATTTTTGATAATATGTTTATTTTTGATAATATGTTTATTCCCCCTAAATATACTCTGATTAATTAAGAAATAAATGGTAGTAATGTCTTGTTTTCGAAAGACTTGGTTTAACAAAAAACCTCGAACTACATGAGGTATATTTATCAAAAATTTATATCAAACATGATTAGGATTAGTCTTGAAAATTATTCATCTGCATTACAGTCATGCACATGTATCAGTCAAGTGCGTACCTTACTGTTTTGGAAACGTTGCATTGTGTTTTTGTCTGAATATCAATCCCAAGATGACTTGCGTTGTTTAATAATTATATTGCATGTGAAAAAAACGGTGCCAACTTTTTTAGTTAATGCTCATCTGCAACGTTTTCAAACAAAACTATTGGATCTTTTTGGAGCACCTTAATAATCTCAACAGCAAAAACATATACTTTGCATTCAGAAATACAAACACGCGCGTACATACACTCACATGCAAATACCCGTTATAAAATCGACTAGCGACTAGCAAGCGAATAATAATAATATATTATATGGCATTTATGCCATATAATATACTATTATTAATTATTAATATTGACATTTCTATTTACTCAAGTTGTAGATAGCCTTCCAAACTAACTTGACACAAATTTCTAAGAAACTTTTATTTTTTTCATTGAAATGAGACATCTTTAAAACTTTATTTTTTTTTTAAAAAAAAATAGGAACTTTTAGGAAAAAAAACAACACGTATTTTAGGAACTCTCCTAAAAATATATATTTCCAGTAAATAAAAGAAACATTTTGATTTGTTTCTTTGTCAAGTCTTTCTATAGTTTCTTTATGTTCTCATTAGCTACGAGCATGATATTCTGTTTCAAATTATCCAACTTGTATTCTCCAACAAAGTCCTAAATATGTCTAGTATTTTTTTCCACGCATTCATCGACACATACAATCGACTTCAAAAACTTACAAATTCATCAAAATCCTCCGTGACATCTCCTTTGATTCAATTCTCTACCTCTCCAAAAAGGACCTTAGCTACCAGTAGATTTTATTTTCCCCATATGAAACTGCTCGGGAATATCATACTTAACCAATATCTCCAACATCTTCTTCTTAACCTTCTTGTCAACATCATTATCAGCTAGAACCAGTAAAAGTGTTGTTAAGTACCACGCATACCGCTGCATGCTAGCAAAAAGGGTCTGTCTTATTTTTGGGTAGTAGTCCCTTATTTCAAATGATGTAAAGTTAACTATTTCCCCGTATAGGCTTTTATTAATCAGGGTCCATAGTATATAGAAACAAATAATGCTGCTGTTTTTATTATCTTCTTTTCTTCTTCATTCATCGCATGGGCTACATGAGGATCTGCCATGAACCTGAAGAATAAATCATCATTATTAAATATATATAAAAATAAAGAAAATGCACTCACCACTAAAAATAAAAGTTATTGACAATATACTTTAACTATAACTGGTTTTATGACAGGCCCCAGGTTAATAAAAATAAAACCTTTGAATATCTTTTCCAAAATAGAAGACAACTAGTTCACAAATATACATACATACATATATATATATATATATATATATATATATATATATATATATATATATATATATATATATATATATATATATATATATATATATATATATATATATATATATCGTGGATGCCCGCAAGGGGGGGCAAGAGGGGGCACTTGCCCCCCCCCCCTCCTTCCTGGTATTTTCTAAATATAGAAAAAAATTTTCTTGTTTGTAACGTTCTTTATGCCATAAAGTTTGTTACAAAATTTTTCTGTAAAAAATATCTTTTAGTGATACTTCGTTACAGTTTCGGAAAAAACCTTATTAAGTTTTTTCCGAATTAATTAACAAAAAATGTTTTGCCCCCCCCTTAGAAAATTTTCTGCGGGCGCCTATGATATATATATATATATATATTTATATATATGTGTGTGTGTGTGTGTGTGTGTGTGTGTGTGTGTGTGTGTGTGTGTGTGTGTGTGTGTGTGTGTGTATAAACATGCACACACGTCAAAATCATCGACGAATAAATCTAACAAGTTATTAACAGGGCTTTTTCTTTCTTCACAAATCTACTTTACCATTAGAGATTTCTGCAATTTTTAACAAAAGCCAATTTTCTGGACCATCCAGTTTTCAAAGCTCAGTGGACTTTAATGAGATAGGTAGCTAATGTTTTTCAATCTTGAATTTATCAGGAAAATCACACTAAACTAATCTATCCAACATCTTTATCTTCACTTCCTGCTTTACATCAACCAGAGATAGCAGCACCAACTGCTCAGTCAAGCACTAGTTATACCTTTGCATACTAGCAAGCAATACCAAACCAAAATTGGAACATTTATCTTTGATGCAAAAAAAAGCATTTTTGAAAGCGGTAAGATCATTTGACGGTGAATTTGATATCAAATACGACTTTAGAAACCAAGATGTATACCAGAAAGATTTAAAGAAAGCTGCTGCCTCTATCATCTTTTTTTACCGATTTGCTCATAATCATGGTGATCTATGGTGAGTAAGATTTATTAAGTGTTTTTTTTTAATTTTTATGTTATTTTTTATACTTACACATTTATTTTTTCAATATACTGTATCTAGCTTCATCGCAGGTTTCCAGGTTGATGGAAACAAAATACAAGTACTTCTCCTCTCAAATAGAAAACAAAAAGTTGGCATAGTTTCCTGTAATCAATCCTGACAAATATTTTTAAAGTAAGAGCCTTTATTCCAAACTCCAAAGTTTTCTTACCAATTTCATAAAGAGGCGACACAGTCTGAAACTGAACCTAATCAAACCTAACTAGGTTTATCATTTTTTTCCACTCTTTTTTTGACTAAACATCGATTTTTCTGGAGTTTGACATACAGCTTGAGCCTTAGGCTCTTTGTCTTTTCTCCAGTCAAAGCCTCCATAAAGAGTGAAATGTCTAGCATACATCTTGTACAGAGAAACCAAGTGAAATATTAAAAATGGAATTAAGCAACAGCTCTAGAGTGTATTCCAGTATTTGATGCCGTAGCGTCACAACAAACAGCAAGTATTTGACCTACAATGTCGAAGTATTTTAGCAAATTCAATTGCTTCAGCCTGCTCAATACCTTAAAAACTTGGTGTTTGAATAACGCATAGCAGTATTTATCTGTATAATCCATATTGGGGATGTAACACTACCACTATTTTCTACAGAAACAGTTATTTTTGATCTTCAATCTGTTTCACCTTCTTTCCATCAAAATGAACACATAGTTTTTTTCTCTTCAGAGTAGTTATAATTTCTTGTCTGAGCTTATCTCCTTATAATTCAATCTTCTTAAATCTCTATGGACTGTACTTCTTGATAGATTAATATTTTTTAGATTCACACAAGCTTTATTGCAAATAACAACTACCACTGAAGTTTTTTTGCGTGTATCTACTCTGTATTGGGCAGAAACTGCAGCAGTACAGTCAACCAGATCTTCAACAATTATCCTCATCATTAGCTTAGATTTAGTAGAACGACTGAATCTATTAGGTAAACCTTTATCATCTGAAAAATCTAAACTAATTTCTAATTCAGAATTATTTCTAGATAAATGAAAAGAAATCTCAAGTTCTTTGAATTTTTCTGCATTCATTATGATTTTACCTTTACCTCTTGCCTCCTCCATCTTCTTGAACCAAGTATTTTCAACTGAATTTTGTAATACTTCATCCAATTCTTATGTTATATACATGTTTCGCTCTCCTTTTTGATCTAATAGAACTGAATATCCTCCTCTTTGACATCTTCAGAACAAAAAAGTTTCTGATTTACTTTTTGTTCAAAATTTGCAAATGAAATATTAAAGAGTGTTAAAAAAAATTAATTCTGTATTTTAAAAAAGTTGTCAATGCTAGAGTTCCAGTACATTTATTTGAGATGATGCAGATATATGTACTTATTATGGAACTTCAGTATCTTATCCCTGACACTGGATTTACTGATAATAAAAACCCTTGAAACCCTGCTTTCTTCTAAGCGTCTATTACAGCAGAGACAACACATCTTTGTTCTAAATTCTTGCTGAAACTATCTTTGCATATCAGATCCCTGTTCTCATACTTCTGAGGGCAGGCTACTATCAACTTAGTAGATTGAAATCTTATTGATGTAAAATAAAAATTGACAAGTATTTATCATTATGGTTTTTTTGTTCTTACATAATTTTTTGCTTCATTTTGTTCTATATTTAACACTGAAAGGGGGCGGGGGGGGGGCGAAGTGGAGATATGTTAAATTAAATATGTATTGCATAAAATTGACCATTTTTAGATTTTATTTTTTTTGTATCATTTTTGTACTTATATATATATATATATATATATATATATATATATATATATATATATATATATATATATATATATATATATATATGTATATATATATATATATATATATATATATATATATATATATTTATATATATATATATATATATATATATATATATATATATATATATATATATATATATATATATATATATATATATATATATATATATATATATATATAAAATAATTATTTGTTCTACTCGGGAGATTTTAGAAACTGGATGTATCATAGAGCATTTCCAATAGTTTCCAGCTGGTTTATTGGAAAGACAGCAGCCTCCTTAATTTTGTTGAAACGCTGTACTTTCAATTTTCACCCTTCTTCTTCTTATTTCTGACTAGAAATAAGAAGAAAAAG